ATATATATCTATATATATATATATATATATATATATATATATATATATATATATATATATATATATATATGTATATATATTTGTTGAATTGCCATTTGTTATTATGTTAGGCTTATAATGGTTAGAAAAATTGGATACTATGAAACAAGATAAAAAAAAATTCAGAAATTAGAGATTATTAAAGCTTAACTTTTGATGGGCATATGGAAAATGTAAAAAGAGCCCCAATTAATTTTGATGGGTATTTTTATTTTTAATTATAAATTGGTGCAGGAAGAAATGTCGTATTCTCGAGCATTTTGGGTCAGCAAAGAAACGATTGCTTGGAATGTGGATGCTGGAAACGGTTCGTATTTCCTCTTCGGCAGTAAAAATGCTACTCTCGCCGTAGTAAATGGAGAAATTCAAGGTTTCCTCTTCGTTGATTTATGTCTGCCCATACATTTAATTGAACTTTTAAAGCAAGAAAACTAATCTTCTCTCTTTGTTGAAAACAGGCTATGATGTAAAAATCGAGCTCGAACAAAGTAGTGAAACGCTTCCAAAGCATGTGAGATACTTATTCGTGGAAACTTATATGATATTTATTTCGTTGAAAATTTTCAATTATTTTACGATCACCAAGTTTAATCCGAAATCTGATTTTTCGTGGCTTCTCTTTTGTGTTTAGGTGATTGAACGATTTCCTCATATTCGTGATTTTAAACCCCTCCAAGTTCCTCGGGATCTGGATGCCAAAAATTTATTGAAATACCGATTGGCTGTTGCTATTTTAGGCTGTAGGTGCAGCATTTACGCTTCGTATTTTATCATCTCTATGAAGGGACTTTGTTATTGGTCTATATATTGTTTGCATACATCTACGACTCAGTCAAGATTTTTTCTATTAAAACCGTGATTTTGACTTTTTGAAAGTTTGTTATTATTTCCTTCACACTGCATAATTGATCGGCTTAAGTTTGTGACATGTCATCCTGTGAATTTTTGGCAACTAACTAAAATGTGTCGTTGAATTTGTGGATCTCACGATAAATTTTTGCAACTTTGATAGAATGAAATAAATTTTCGAGCACTTTCTTTCTTTATTCGACTCTTTTATATATGCAGCTGGTGGAGAATGCACTAGTATTACTGGTTTGCAGTTACCTGGTATCCTAGACGAACTATTCTATTACAGCGGTCCACTAGGCGCAGTTTTTTCGTCTGAAGCTGTTTCTCTCTATCTTTGGGCACCCACTGCACAGGTTTTTCCAATATATTATTCGTATTTTTTTCATTTTTGGACTCTAATTCGATCTCATTTTGGTATCTTTTCATTATAATATTGAAATAAACAGAAAGTAAATGTGCTTATTTACGGAGAAGGTGAAGGTGGGGACCACTTGGAAATTGTCCCGCTCGAGGAGTCAAACGGAGTTTGGAGTGCGAAAGGGCCGCTGACTTGGGAAGGATGTTACTATGTTTACGAAGTCTATGTCTACCATCACAGCACCTCGAGAATTGAAAAATGTACTGCAAATGATCCATATGCAAGAGGGTACACTGGTCATTTTACACACAAATTGATCGGTGAAATAGTGAATTTTTATTTCTTATAATTTTTTTTTTTGGAGTTGTTCATATATGCTGTTGTTGTTGTTTGTGTTAGGCTGTCGGCCGATGGCAGGCGAACCCTTTTAGTGAACATTGATTCCGAGGCTTTGAAACCCGAATCATGGGATCGTTTGGTCGATGAAAAACGGGATCTTTGTTTCGTTTTCAGACATCAGTATTTACGAGTTGCATGTAAGAGACTTCAGGTAGAATAAGTAACCAAGCTTTATCTTATGAAATACTTTTCATGTAAAACGGGATCTTGTTTATGTCTTATATTATTATTATTTTCTTTTTTTATAAGTTGTCTTATATTTATTTGCTTTCATCGAAAGTGCGACGGATGATACTGTTCCATCTGATTTTCGTGGAGGCTACCTCGCCTTTACTTCTGAGGTATGCGATCAGATTTTTTATATTATTGGCTCATGTTTTCGAATTAATTTAATTAGTTCCTTCGATTTATTTATTAAACCTTACTAATTATAGTTTCGAATTTTTGCTTTAAGGACTCAGCCGGAATTCTTCATCTTAAAAAGTTATCGAGTGCCGGGATCACACACATTCATCTCTTGCCGACGTACCAGTTTGCTGGCGTCGATGACAAAAAGGCTAAATGGCAGAGTGTAGGTAAGTGTCCGTTTATTTTTATTGCGCCAATATATTTAAGATAAAAATATTATTTTCAAGAACTTGTAAAAGTGTGAGCTTACGGAAATTTTCGACAGATTTTGAGATGCTCGAATCATTTCCACCCGACTCTGACGAACAACAAGCTAGTATTACCGCCATCCAGAATGAAGATGGATTTAATTGGGGGTGAGATCGTAATATTTCATCATTGTTTTTTAAAATTATTATTCTTATGTTTTTGTCTTGATTTTGTACACCCTCTTCATTGATAATACTTTCTCAACCATGTCTGAAAAAAGCTATAATCCTGTACTATGGGGTGTACCGAAAGGAAGCTATGCAACTAAGCCTAGTGGCTCGTCCCGAATAATTGAGTTCCGCAAAATGGTGCAGGTATATATACATATTCGATTCATCTTAGGAATTGTGTTGCTTGTAATAATTATTTAAGGTCTATTCAAGATTATGTAATTTATTTGATGGCAGGCACTGAACCGTATTGGTCTTCGTGTTGTACTGGACGTTGTTTACAACCATCTACACGCGAGCGGTCCAAATGGTGACGACTCTGTTTTGGACAAGGTCATCCGAAATTATTTTTTTTACATCAAAATTTATTACACTACTCTGCAATTAAAACAATGTATTCTAGAACCAAGAGCTACTAATTAGTATCGATGTAATTACTTATAACACCAAATTAATTGCAGATTGTTCCAGGTTATTACCTTAGAAGAAACCTTGATGGCTTAATCGAGAATAGTACATGTACAAACAATACCGCCAGTGAGCATTCCATGGTCGAAAGGTTGATTATTGACGATTTGTTACACTGGGCTATCAATTACAAGGTGACTATTTTCAGTTAAACTCTTTGAAATTATATATATATATATATATATATATATATATATATATATATATATATATATATATATATATATATATATATATATATATATATTACTCTTTCAAACTCATACACATATATATATATATATATATCTCTATATATCTTTATATATATATCTCTATATATATTTTTACATATATATACATATATATATATATATATATATATATATATATATATATATATATATATATATATATATATATATATATATATATATATATATATATTTGAATATGATATGAATTTCTAACTCTAATCCCGATTGCAGGTAAAGGCTAGAAGTGTGCTCCAGAGTTTATCGAAACAGAACGACGGAGTAGATGGCTCTAGCATCTATATGTAAGCGTCGAAGATTCTTTTAATCCTTAATACTTGCATCATCATTGTGTTTTAATGTATCTTATTTACAATAATTTTTTTCTTTTATATTTTAGCAAAAATATTTAATAATTATAAAATTTTCGTTCTCAGTTACGGTGAAGGATGGGACTTTGCAGAAGTGGCTAATGACGGGCGTGGGGTAAATGCGTCACAATTCAATCTTTGTGGAACTGAAATCGGAAGGTACTTTCTCTACAGTAAAATATGCTAATTTTTCGGTGAAAAAAAATTAATATTATTCCTTTGAATTTAATCGAGATTAAATTTTCAGTTTTAATGACCGGATTAGAGATGCAATGATCGGTGGATCTCCGTTTGGACATCCACTTCAACAAGGTTTCATTACAGGTTTGTCTTTGGAGGTAATCCTTAACTTTTTCGTCTAATTAAAAATTGCTATAATTTACTCTACTTAAAATACCTTACGAATATTGAAACATTTTAAAAAAAAAATTACCTTTGATATACGAGTATTAAATTAAGTCGACTTAACTGTTACTTTACTTCTTCAGCCGAATGATCACGACCATGGAAGTAATTCCGATGTGGAGCATACGCTTGCCGTTTCAAAGGATCGTATTCAGGTACTTCTAAAGTCACCCCCCATTTCTTTTTTAATTTATTTTTATCGATAGCTAAAATAAAATAAAATTTAATTACATGATATTCTCGACACAAATTTTCACTATTTATTGTGTAATGCAGGTTGCAATGGCTGCTAACCTTAAGGACTTTGTCCTGACCAACCACGAGGGTAAAGAGGTAATATTGACACGTCACTCTCAATAACGAACATGTTATCGATCATTTTCTTATTATTAATCAAAATATTAGTTTCATGCATTATTATATGATATGAATTCAAGATTTTATACATAATTAATAATTAATATATATATCTTTGGACAGGTTAAAGGAAGTGAAATTTCGATGCATGACGGGGCACCCCTTGCTTATGCTTCATCCCCTATAGAAACAGTAAAAACTGCCATTTTATCTTAATTAATCACATTATTTTTCGTAAATCTATTATTTAAATTTTATTGGATTATTATTATATACAATTAATATCTTCTAATATTTTGCTTAATATTGGTGGAATTAGGTGAATTACGTCTCTGCTCATGATAACGAAACCTTGTTCGATATTGTCAGTTTAAAGGTAAATTCTGCTGTTATATATATATATATATATATATATATATATATATGTATTGCAATAATTTCATTCCCTAAGAAAGTATTTAACATTAATTTTCTTTATTTTTTTAGACTCCATTAAATATCTCTGTGGATTCAAGATGTAGGATGAACCATTTGGCGACGAGCGTAATAGCACTTTCCCAGGTTTGACCGTTTGACTGTCTAGTCCATATCGAAAGTTCCTATTATATACAAACCTTCGAATACAAAACTATTTACAATTGTGCCACTATTAACTTAGTAATAACAAATTTAAATTAATTGTAGGGAATACCGTTCTTTCATGCTGGAGACGAGATTCTCCGCTCAAAGTCATTAGATCGTGACTCGTACAATTCTGGTGATTGGTTCAACAGGTAAACCCGTTTACACTGATTTAAATTTAAATGTAAATTCCCTGAATAATTTATTTAAAAACTGTATAATTATTTTACGCACTCCAAATTGATCGTTCAGATTAGACTTCAGCTACAACTTGAATAATTGGGGCGTTGGTCTTCCTCCAAGAGAAAAGAACGAAAGACATTGGCCACTGTAAGCATCATTAATATTAAATTAAATGGTCACTATTTAATTATATTTCAAAAAAACCTGCTTTTACGTAATTATTTTGTAGTTCTATGATCTATTATCTAACCTTTTTTTTTTTTTTTTTATTTCTTTCTCAGAATGAAAACAAGATTAGCGGATCCTTCGTTTAAGCCTCGAAGAAGTCACATTCTTGCAGCACTCGAAAGCTTCTGTTGCTTTATTAGTATCCGATACTCTTCCCCGCTTTTCCGTTTGTCTACAGCAAACGCAATTCAGGTTAGATATCTTAAATTTTATCACCGTTTTTCAGAAACTTTATTTACCGAAAATGCCCCTTACTAATTCTAGGTTGTAATAAAACCTCTGATTATATTATCCATATTTTCAGGAAAGAGTACGATTTCATAATACCGGTCCGTCGTGGGTCCCGGGTGTGATAGTCATGAGCATCGAAGATGGCCATGAAGGAGTTCCGGGACTTTCTCAACTGGACCCCACGTAAGTAACATTATTAGTGGGAAAATTACACTTTTCATCCCTCAACTTTGCACTGATTTCACTATTGGTCCCCCATGTTTACAAAAAACACATTTGGTCCCTCATATTTCAATAATTTAACACTTTTGGTATTTTTCATCAATTTACCATTAGTCCGTCAGTTAAGGTAGTGATGTACACACGCTTGATTCCGTTAGTGCTAACGGAAAATTGACGGAAAGGACTAAAAGTATTGAATTTTTGAAACATGAGGGACCAAATGTGTTTTTTTGTAAACATTGGGGACCAAATGTGAAATCAGTGCAAACTTGAGGGACAAAAACTGTATTTTTCCCATTATTAATTTATTTCTGCATTTTATATTTACCTAATCTAAACTATGTTAATTAACATTCGAAATATATATATGTATGTATACATCACAGATACTCGTACATTGTTGTTATAATTAACGCTAGCCCGAACGATATAACATTTACGAGCCCGTCTTTGAGGGGAAAACGTCTACAATTGCACCCGATACAGGTTATTACTCGTCACTCTTTTCACAATTTTATTACATACAATAGCTGAAATAATCATTTGAAAATAAAGAATGTTCCCTATTTTCTAATTTTGTACTTGTAATAAAATTTATTTCTTCAGATGAACTCAGGCGATGAAATTGTGAAGGGCTCGAATTACGATAACTCGTCTGGCTCTTTCAGCATACCCTTTAGGACAACCTCTGTTTTCGTCGAGCCTCGGCCAATCTGATGAGACTGCATTTTTTAGATTTTTTTTTTTGCTTAATTAATTTAAATAGTAAATCATATTTCATGCTCAGTGATTCTGCACTGTTTTGTAAGATTTTACAAGCCTGATACTGAATTAAGGTTTAATAATGTCGGTTAAACACAGGCTTTAACTCTAATTGGATATTAACACAACCACAAACTAAATCATTTGTGATCAAGATTGAATCAAAATTAATTGCCAAAAAAAAAGAATAGTATGGTAGTTTTTCTTATTCAAGTCCTAACATAGATTAGTGATTCCTCCTAATCATGTGATCTAAATTGGGAAAAATATAGTTTTCATCCCTCAAGTTTGCACTAATTTTACATTTGGTCCCTTATGTTTCAAAAATTCAGCAATATTAGTCATTTTGTCAATTTTCCGTTCGTACTAACGGAATCAAGCGTGTGCCCATGGCTACCTTAACTGGTGAAGTAAAGGTAAATTGACGGAAATGACTAAAAGTGTTAAATTATTGACCTATGAGGAATCAATTGTGAAATCAGTACAAACTTGAGGGATTGCAACTGTAAATTTTCCGATATAATT